GGCCCCCCCCCCCCCCATATTACTCTTATTTATCTTTGAATCAAGTGTTTATTCAAGGTCTTTTGATAATAAAACTTCCAAAACTTCTTACTTTGTTTATCTGACTGATTCATGTAATCCGAGTTCGGCCGGGACCCACAGTTGTGGACCTCGAAGAGTGCCTAACACCTTATCTTCGAGGTAATTTTGAGCCCTTACCCGATCTTCGGTGATGCAAACTAGTCAAACTTGAGTCACTTGCAAATAGGTGCCCTAACGCACCTTAAAAAGTCATTCGGTGGTGACTCTTCTCTTTTAACCCTTCCTTTAAAAGAGTTGTCACACGTCGAAGCCCACTTTCGCGAGAAAATGGGGCGCGAAAGCATGGCGACTCTGCTGGGGATATATTTAGGCTCTTACTATAGGAAATTTTGCTTATATGATTTATTCTTCTCTGATAAATGTGTTTCTTTTATTTGCTGCTACATGCACGTCCCGCTCCTATTTTTCCTCTTATATGTCTAATTCATTCCTGCCTGCACATTCCTCCCCAATTCTCCCTTTATTTTAATTCGTTGTAATATGCAATACCTTCCCTTCTCCACCCTTCCTTGCTTAAATTGGTTATAACATGCATATCCCTCCCCTATTCACCCTTAATTGCTATAACTGCAATTCACTCGTTTAAAGATTGCTATATCATCCTTACTCCCTTGCTTGCTTTATTACCTTCTCATATATCCCGCAAACTAACTTTTCTCCTTTGTTTTTGGTTTTATATTCTTTATGTTTTACCTTGATATTGTATTTATCGTTTTCTATTCATCATGCAAATACTTGACAATGTGTTATTTATTTTTGCATAAAGCATTCTCTATATCATATTCCACTCATGCCCAATTAATACCATAGCGGAGCTTGATGAGTGTCCGCACTCTTCCAAAGTCACCCTTTCAATTTGGAAAGGCTTATTTTGCAGTAAAACTAGTCGATCAGCAGTGTAGTCGACGGTTCCGTGCCTATACCTCTCAAGTTGTCCACTTGAGGGTACCGGTCAAGACTCTTCTAGAAACCCCACTCTAATATCAACTGTGCATACATCATGCCAAACCTAGTATGGGTTAAAAAACCGTCGGTATGATAATCCGCTAAGGAAAGCCTTGTCCAAAGTCCGACGAGATTTCCACAATCCCAATGGACGTTATCATGTTATATGCATTACTTGGAGAAAATATTTCAATATGTTGATCATTAGTGTGTAAATAGTCAAATTTGGAGGGGGAAAGGCTTACTCTATTTGTTTGCAAAAAATAAAATACAAAGTGCCCAGGTTCG